CTCTTTGCCATCGAACTGATTTTCAGACTTGCACAATGATAGCAGTGTGCCCGTTCTTTGATCTTTGCCATTGCTACTGCCTTGCTTTTGCTTGCGGCCTACCTAAGCTGAGGTGCAAATTACAGGCTGGTGGAGCGAGACAGGAGGAAGGTGGAGCAGTGTATGGGTTCAGTCTGGGAGAATAGAGAGCCATAGGCACTGGAACAGCATGGGGGAGAGATCCCCTGGGAGTTTACTTTCACTTCAAAAAATGTATTTTTTCCTCAAGTTGTGAAATTCAGGAATCGATGTAAATGCCAGGAAGATAGTAGCAATTCTAATTTGTTTTCTATTACGTGAAAATGTTATGTAAATACATTGTGAAAATTCATAACGTGCATATTATTAATTAACCTATTATATTGTGGCTAAGTTGTTTACATTTGTTCTTTACTAGCTAAATGAAATTATATCTCTATACATTGTATTAATAAAAAATAAAGGGTAGATAAAAGATTGGAAATAGGAAACTTTAATATATACAAAGCTTCCTAAGACGTTCCAAAGTAAGCAACTCTGCATCTGTCTTGACAGAAAACGGGGCAACCTGTTTAAATTTTGTACTATTGTAGAAGGTTATGTAGATATTTGATAAGTAAATCTTACTTAAGATGCCTTGGTTTCGTGTTGCAAGACTACAAATAACAATTCTATCAAAACTAGTGCTGTAAACAATTCTTTGATAGATACCTGTTCATTTTGGTATTTGCTTGCAGACTGTAACAGTTCAGCATTTCTCTTTTAGCTGCATGCTTTCTACCCATAAGTAGGCATAATTACCACTAATCAAGACCCCTAATCTCAAGCAATTATAAGCTCTTACATTGTTCTAATTGCACATTTAAAAACAATGTATTTTTCTCATATAATTATGTTATAATTCATACAATTATTAATTTCTGCTTTTCTTTTTATCTGATCAATGTTAATTTTGTGTGACCTCACAATGTGTTATCTGAAAAATGCCTTTGAGGCATGCAGTTTTTGTGGATAATTTACAGTTGTTTTGTCTTCAGTGAGAAGTGCAAGAGGTTTTCAAGGCTGTGTGTCTCTCAGCCATCTATGAACACAACAATTTATTGTAAACTAGGAACTTGATAGTGAAACAGAAGTGCAGTTATACATTTAAATCATCTACTATTTGTAAATCCAGGTGCTTGCTCTTTGAATAGTATTATAGCACAGGCTACTCCTTAAGTATGTAAGAGGGGTTTGTTTTGTTTTTTTTTAATTGTTAAGTGGAACTTAGACTTTCTGGATCAGCTTTCTAGAAAATTAAAATGAAGACAGTTCAGTTTCAGAAAGCACTGCAAGTCTTGGGGGCAAGATGTAAGATGTTGTTCAATAGTTGATGTTGGTCTCACTTGCTGCGGTGTAGTTCTTATGCACACATTTTGTATGCACGGGCTTTGGATGAGTGCATTTTGAACAAATCATCATTAATCTGATGATTCATCTCAGGAGCTGCATGCAGCACTTACATCTGTAATTGGGGTAATTGCAAACCTCTCATTCTTACAGATAGAAATTCTTCCTCTTAGAATTATAAAATCAGATCCCAGATCTTTTACTGTGGTAGCTGAGACCTACACTGACTTGTATTTATTTCTCTGTTCTTATTTGTTACATCATTAAAAGTAGCAGATGATTTGGTGACCTTTCCAACCAGTGTCTGACCTTCATGATTCACTTGTGCGGGTAATTGGCTATTGAAATTACTATGCTTTTATCTTTGACGTTATTTAAACTCTGGTTTAAATGGGGTGACACAGACTTCATTGTAAATGGGTAGCCACATTGTTTGGGACAATGTATTTTTCTTTATCTATTGTCAGAAAAGAATATTAATG